ACGTGTGCGCCGATGGAAGGAAAAACACGAGAGCAACTAACCTGGAGGTTCGGGATCTCAGTTTGAGCAGCCTTGTGTTCCTGTTGGAAGATGGCACTGAGGTTCCTGCTGTCTAGGTACGGTGGTGGTACGTTGCCTGTGATAGCCGACGCGTTCACATCAAACGGGGTTCCCAAGATCACATCTGTAGGTTACACCTCAATGAACTTAGACAGGACCAAGGAGTGTGGACACACAATAATCGAAGTGTCCTGGTATGATGATGATGATGATGAGATAAACCCAAATGTTTATTTTCACTTCAAGCAAGCAAGCAATTGTACAAAAGAGGGAGACAAGGACAAAGCTCTTCAGAAGAATTACAAAGTAATGGTGGAACGTTAACTCGACCAGATAGATTTCCTGCTGAACTCAGAATGGCTTTTCTGCAGTTTTACGATGTCGAGACAACGAAATGTATCAGTTCATTACCCATTAATGCATGTTGCTGCAATATTTCCTAAATTATGCGGCTCTTTGTGCATTTTAAATGGAAGCGCACTCCTCTCTTGCCAAAAACGCGCGTGGGATAGCTGAGTTGTGGACATGGTTAAACCCAAGAGACCACGCAAACAATGAATTGACCACTTTGCCACCCTCAAGCACGAAGGCTGCGGACATAAAACTATTGCTGCGTCAGCACACTCCTGACAGTAGATAGAGGGTATTAAAGGTATAGTTGCATTCCAACATGGCGGCGGAAAGACAGCCTAACCTACGCCACCAACCTAAGAGACTCAGATTCCGGACGAAATTTCACCACGTGCAAGATGAATTTATGAACAACCGTGAAGTATTGCTAGCTCTTGGGCAGGTCAAATACCTCCTGGCAGGATTTTCGACAATTGCGACAAGTTAGTAGACCGGTGTGCCTATAAATCAGTTGAAACAGGGGGCTTCCAGAGTTACACTTTAAGCGAATGGCAACCGGGCCTTAATTCCATATTTGATGATTCCAAAAGAGATGAATTTGTAATTGCTTGCAGTGAAGTATTTATCATAACACCCTGCAAGTAGTGATTGGGTTGATGGCAGACGTGCTAGTGAAGCAGGCAGTCCTATTGGTGTTGGTGATTCAGAAGACTTTGCACCTGATTGATCAAAATAGA